GAGTGGTGTGTGTGTGTGTGGCCAGCTCAGCCCACCAGGGGGCAGGGCTGGCTGGCATGTGGTGCTGGGGGATTGAACCGTGGTCCCTGATGCTTTGCCAAGTTTGTTCTAAGTAGGTGCTTTAGACCACTGAGCCATCTCTCCAGCCCCCAGAATTGTTGAACTTAGGCCAAAGTGACAAACTTGCCAAACTTCAAATGGAACTGAAGGATGGCTATAAACATAGCTCAAGGGGCCGGGGAGATAGCTCAATAGATTAAGTGCTTGCCTGGCAAGCACAAGGGCCTGAGTTCAATCCCCGGTTCCGCAAAAATAAATAAATAAATAAATAAATAAATAAATAAATAAAATAAAACAAAATAAACATAGCTTAAATATGGGGAGACACAAAATGTAGATGAAGCAGTAGATGGCGGCATGAATATCTGTAATCCCAGGGGAGGCTGGAACAAGAGGATTATAAATTCAAGTCCTACCGGAGCAACTCATCCTTAAATTTTCAAAATGAAAAATATAAAAGGCTTGAATAGCTCAGCAGCAAATGGGTGAAGACTATTGGTGCATTTCTGGATGCCCCCCACACCTCTTCTGAGACAGGGTCTTGCTATGTAGTCCAGGCTGGTCTTGAACTGTCTTTGTAGCCTCAGCTGAACTCAAACTTGTGATCTTCCTGCCCAGCCTCCCAAGTACTTCAATAAAGGGCATGTGCCATCACACCCAGCTCATAGGTCCTTCCTTATCATACAAAGCTAGTGACAAGGTCAGAGATCTAAGCACAAAATGCATACACACAGGCAATCTCAGGTTACCCCAGAAGTGTCTACAATTTATGCACATCATTATTATACTATGCAACTGTATGGATTGACTTGCCATTATACATTTAATTTTAAATCATTTTATTTTTATAGAGGTTAAGAGTAGGAAAATTTATTGGAGAATAGTTCCTGAGAAACAGAAGAGGCCTCAACTTTAAAATATGAAGTAAGAACCCACTTGCTCAGTGAGAAAGGAAAACTGTTGCTTACCCGGGGTATGAAGAATTCATCAGCACTGAACTTATAAAGCCATTCATCCAAAAAGTGAAACAGAAGAGACAGCAAGTCATCTCCTACACAGGATTAATAAGGGCCATAACAGTAAAAGGTTTAATAACCCTTGTCTCTAAAACCATGTTTCAATTTAAAAATGCAGTGAATTTCTTATGCTATTTGAAAAAGGAAAAATAGGTTCATCAATCAAATTGGTTCTTACTGTAAAAATACACTCAAGATGCAAAATACTCAATATCTGTAGAATGACTTTTTCCTTGTCCATTAATCAGTTACCTTGGGCTTCGACTTCCACGGTCTGGAGGGGCTCCACAGTCCCGGTGTCGGTCATGTAGGCAAACATGGCCATGGCACACTGCTCGAACGCCTCCTCCAGAGTCTCCCCCCACGCATGCAGCCTGGAGAAACAAATGTGTGCTTTGTGCAGCATAATCCACAGCGAGAGAGAAAATGCAACAGCAAAGTCCAAATAAAATCAGCTTGATAGATACAAAACTGAAGGCATGTATTTTTTTCCTTTTGCAGTAGTGAGGATTGAATTCAGGGCCTTCACACTGAACTACATCCCCAACCCTTTTCAGATTTTGCGGAACTGGGGACTGAACTCAGACCCTTGCGCTTGCCAGGGAAGTGCTTATTCCACTGAGCCATCTCTCCAGCCCCACCCTTTCAGATTATTTTATTTGACAGAGGGTCTTCCTAAACTGCCCAGGCTAGCTTCCAACTTTTGACCCTTCTGCTTCAGCTTCCCTCAGTACTGGGATCAGAGGCATGCACCCTCACACCTGGCGGGGCACTGGAAGCTTTTAAGTCATCATTTTCATGTTCAAAAGAGAAGAACCCCAATGAAAGTAGAAAAAAAAATCAAAACTTAAAACTAGTAAGACCCAGATTAAAATATTCAACCTTCCTATTTAACGGCAGCTTCAAAGGAATAAGGTCCAGCTGTACTCACTGGACATCTGCTGTGTGATCCAAATCTGAAGGAGAGAGGGAAAAACATAGTCACTCAACTTGATGCTCAACAACACAGGAAAGTATTAAGTCCATTTTTAAATTTTTTTTAAGAAGTCCATTCTTAAGAACACTGTCCTTAAAACAAGAAGAATGTGAGACAGCTCAGACCTTCAGCTGTTTAGTTACTACACAAAGTTAACTGCTGTCAAGGATTAGCTTATTTTGTTGTTCTGGAATATTTTGGGTTTCTTGGGGTTTTTGTTTTGGGCGTTTTTTTTTTTAGGGAAGGGTCTACAGGGTGTTAAGGGTCTCACTACTAGATCCAACTCCTAGTGATCTGCCTGTTCACAGTCTCCCAAGAGCTGGGATTACAGGTGTGCCTACCACACCACAATCTCAATTGCTGTCTCAGTGGGTCCCAGGGGAGGGGGCAGGGCCAGCAAGGTAGGCTTAGCGCTCGAACCCCTGGCCTCTGTGTCTGCTTGCAGGTGCTTCAATCCGCTGAGCTATTTGGCTGGCCCTAGTATTTTGGTTTTCGTTTAATTCTTTGAGATAGGGTCTCACCATAACTCCTTCTAGCCTCAAACTTGCTACAGAGCCCAGGGAACCTAGCACTTGTAGTCCACTGGCTTCAGCCTGCACTTGCAGGGACCACAGGCACAGACTACCACACCTGGATGAGCAATATTTTTTTCTTAGTGCCAAGGTTTACATTGAAATGAATGACATTTTTCTGGAAGGTAGCAACGCCTGGGCCTTTGAGGTGGTGTAAAAAGGACTTAAGCGGAGCATGGAAGCACACACCTGCAGTCCCGCCTAGGAGGAGGCTGCTCTGAGAGGATCACATGAGTCCAGGAACTCAAGCCAGTCTGGACAACACAGAGGACCCTATTATTATTGTTTTGCTTTTTAATGTACTGGGGATTGAACCCGGGGCTTCACACTAAGGTAAGTCCCCAGCCCTTCTGATTCTGAACTAGGGTCTTGTTAAATTGCTCAAACTTCTGACTCTCCTGCCACAGCCTCCCAGAGCACTGAGATTATGGGCATACAAAATAGTTTTAGAAAATAAACTCCACAATAAATATTTAGCATATTCCTAATCTAACAAGAATCTCAAAACTTTTTTTTTTTTTTTTTTGGTGGAACTGGGGATTGAACTCAGGCCCCTGTGCTTGCCAGGCAAGCGTTTATTCTACTGAGCCATCTCTCTGGCCCTCACAATTTCTACTATACCATGGTGCATTGGACCTGTTCCTGCAACTCTTTCAGAGCCTACTCTTCACGTGTACTGCAACTTTTATCTAGCTTTTCCACTTAGCCTCACAGGAGTACTACAGTCAGAAGGAATTCTTGGTGATTGACAGTTCCTAGTACACAAAAAGGAACCTGAAATACAGAGAAAGCGTGGCTTCCTCAGAACTATACTGCTATTTACAGGTAGAGCTGGAAATGGAAATAAAGGTGTTCTAAACTCCCACTTTAGTGACCTTTGCACCATAGCACATTGTGTTCTGATGGCATTCCAATGCAAATCTGTCACTCCCAAATATTACTGAGAATTTAGGAAGTTTTAGGTACTAAAGATCTCAATGAAGGTGGCCAAATAGCTCAGTGGATTAAAGCATCTGCAAGCAGGTACAGGGCCTAGGGGTTTGATCCCCTGGCCTGCCATGCTGGCCGCCCGGGGCACACTGATATGGCAATTGAGGCTGTCCCTGCTGGCACATACCTGTAATCCCAACTCTTGGGAGGCTGTACGCAGGCGGATCACTACGTCTGATCTAATAGTGAGACCCTGAACACCCTGTAGACACTTCCCTAAAAAACAA